CTTGTCAAACACGTATGCCAGCCCTGCTCCAAAGCAGTAGACAACTACCTGGAGTTTCGTATCATCGTGGCGGAGCATCTGGTGGAGGAGGTAAGAGCCGGCGGCCATCGACTTACCTATCCCCGGCGTCCCAATCAAGAGACGTCGCCTCAAGTCAGGATCCTCTCGACCTCTAGGGCCGAACGCTCCGTCTAAATCGCCTTTGACAATTCGCCACACCCGCTCCACCTCACGGGTGACGTAGCAGTCGGCAATGGTTTTTCCCTGCCTTAGCGGGTACGGCCAGCCCTTCTCAGAGGTTAGCACAATCAGCCTGGGACGCGGTGCACGAAACTGCTGTGCACCGCCCACCGGTGAAAACCTTGCGCCCTTCCGCGTGTATTGCCACGACTGCGTTGGCCGTTGGCCCTCCTTCACCTCCATTCGCACCTCCATTTCTTCCCCCTCGCCCTCGGGAAACTCCAAGACGTGACTCCACTTCGCGTTGAACACAGAGTCGTAGAATCCATTCGGTACCGGCAGCATGCCAACTGCCTGAATCCGAGTTGCACTTTCTGCCTTCTCCGCTGCGGCAAGGGCTGATTGGAGTTTTGTCCTTGAAATAGCAGAGACAATGTTCTTCTGATCAAATTCCTTCCAGTCTTGGAGCGTACCCACTCTATGCTCCATTAGATTGCGTGCATCCGCACGCAGCTTGCGTGCGTCCTCCCGGCGCGGATACTCTGTCTGATACTCTGGTAAACTTAGAATGTCCTCGCGGAGCTCCGGGTCCGTGACGTACCTCTCAGGCCTACGAGCAAACGCATTCATAGAGAGATTCTCGTTGGCCTCCACGACTCCTCTGCCGCTTAATTTATCACGGAGGAAATCGTTCAATTTAATGTCACGAATTGGCCCTACTCCCCCAAGCAGCACTTCTTCCACCGTACTGGTGAGGGTCCAGCGTTGTCGTGCAGGTGCCTCTTCCGCCCTTCGGCGCTGTGCAGGGGGTGCCGTGGAGTCGCCGCTGTCGGATTCCGCCCTTGCATGCCGCGGGGGGAGCGGCACATTAGAGGCGGGGGTCTCCGCAGCACGCGCCCTCGTTCGCTTTGGAGGCATTTCCTTCCTTGCTTGTTTTTTTTTTTACTTTGCTGTAGTTGTTGTTGGCTTGAGCTGCAGCCGAACACCAACCACCAGCCAAAAAGAGAATGAGAGACAAAATAAATAGTCACAAAGGCACACGACCCCCACGCAGCCACATTCAGCAAGAAAGAGAGACAGAAAGAAAGTGTGAGGGCCACCGCGGCCCACACTGTGCGGGGCAGGGCAGCCGCACCGCACCGCACGGGGGGCGGCCTCGCCACGCCGCCCACCGCCCCACCTGCCGGCGCAGCCAAATGAACCCCCGGCACCGCATTCTGCGGCCCCGCCACGCGCCCCACCACGACGGCGCTCGCCCCTCCCGAAAAAAAGGGGGCGTATGTGTGTGCACAGCGCAGGGCACACGAAAACTGCGACGCTGCTCTTCTCTTCGCATTGCACCCGCCCTTCGAGACCCCACACACATCTCCGTCTCTGTGTGCGTGTGTGCGGCTACGCACAGGCACCGCCCACCCACGGTGGGAAATGACACCGCATCGTTGCAGAGGCATGTTGTGCCGCGATCCGCTGCAGGCGAGAAGGGGCAGAGAGCACCGGACGGCCGCCCACCCGCAAGGAGGAGGAGGAAGGACGCCGCCGCACTGCCCGCCACGACGCAAACACGCAGGGCGCCCAGCACGTGGGCTCCGCGAGGGGAAGTTTTGCCACGCGACTTCGACCGCACGGGGCGCAGCCGGCGAAGGCGGCACCAGACGAGAGACGCGTTCGCTTTGTTCAGTCGTCGTGGCGTACGCCGCTGGCGTTCCGTGCGCCGTTCAGCCGCCGACACACTTGCCCCAGCCGCGACAAACGAGGGGAAAGTGGCGGCACAGTTCCCGCGGGAAGGGCAGCGGCTTCCGCCACTTTGCGGCCACCGTGCCGCTCAGTAAGCCCCACCCAGACACAAGATTCTTTTTTCTTCCATTTTCGGGCCGCACGCCATTCACGCATTGCCGTCTGCCGTCCGCCTCTCCCCACGCCCGCCTGCCCCGCTTAGCGTGTCGCTGCCATGCCGCGGGCTGCGCAGCTCCCTCTGCGCTTCTCTCATCACCGGGCGCCCACCACAGCGAGCCCCTGCATGCATTCAGTGGGGAAAAACAAAACAATAATAATAACAAGTAAATGCGTCTTTCCCTCGTTTTG